AGACAACTTTAACAGGGAAGCATGTTCTGGAGAAGCATGCAGTTCCGAGTATTTTTTGCTGGTCAAGATCACCCAGGAAAAGAAAATCTCCGAAAAAGCGAGAACCACCGCGTACACGAGTGCGATTTTTTGATGTAAGCATGCCATTGTCCCCTGTCACTGTCACAGGTAAATATTGTTGCCAGTATTTCTTTAAACATTCCTTGGTTAAAATCGTAAAGCAGTCAGAGGTATTTTTCTCTTTTTCATTTTAATCTATAGCATCAACTTCCGGCCAAGCTTCCGGTGAGGAAAGTTCTATGGAGGTCCAACCGGAACTGTCATCCTCTCCTGTTGTTATAAACTGCACCGAGCCCATATACACTGTCACTGTCACAAGTAAATATTGTTGTCGGTATTTCTTTAAATTTCGATAAAGGCGTTTGTGAACGATGGTATGTCCACCAGATTGCGGAGCCAAAACTCTGAAGAAATCGAAGCACTCGCTGACCCAGCCATGATGTTTTAACTTGCGTGGCCTCGCTTTCATGCGAAAAATGGTTACGTTGCATCCAACATGGCGGACTGTGATCAAGGCGAATGTCGGCGAATGTACGAATAACTTCAACATTTCTGAAGCGTTGTCAAACAACCGGAATGTTTCATGGTAGTATAAGCTGTATAATATGAGATAAATTAACTGCATGTGCGAAACACATGTACAATTCAATAAAACACGGTTTTCTATGTTTTAGCATCTTTAGAAAACATGGCTTTTTAATCATCCAATCAGAACGCCCATAGAATCAAAACTGCAGATAAATCCAACTATCACATGCAATACCTTTATCGCTGCAGGAGCTGACTCGGTTCGACTTGATAATGGGGGACCTTTCACGCGTTAGATGAAACATGAAGTTCCATCATTAAGTCATATGTACCTTGTGTAAAAGCGAAATCAGAATCCATTTCAGAATCCAAGTCCTATTCAATTTTTCTGCGTATAGTTTTCAATATTTTGAAAACGGAAAATTTGAATATGTTGCGAGAATTTCTGCGATAAGATATTTTGCAAAAACGTACTTGCTACGCTTTGAGCCTCCTGCCAATTTAAGATCAACCATTAATCACAGCCTCTGCAAATCGGTGAAGACCTCTTACCTCGGGTAAAGTTAGAAGAGAGTTTAGCACTGCTCTGTCAAAGTAACTGTGGATAGAAAGAAGGTTAATTAATAAAGATAAATACTTGGCACCACAGTCAAGAAATTCAAAATTTAAGTTAGTCAGATCTACAATACCTCCCTGTTGATGATCGATTCTCCTCCTTGAGAAAGACTTCTATTCCATAATCAACACCAAACCTAGTTATCTGTAAAAGCAGAGGTGATAGGTGATGGAAGATGTCTGAAGTGTCACACAATCCTGCTTTACACGTAAGGGGGTAGTGTAGTTAAAATCTTGAATTGTGTTTCAGTGTTATGGGGAAAGGGGGTGGGGTGGAGGAGCGTTTCAGGGCGGATTCTTGTTGGTTTAAAAAAGTCAAACATCCAATAGCGAACAGTCCGGACCAAACAACCAGTTTGTTAACCAATTAGGAGCATGCTCTCTCACGCCTGTTTCGATTTCGTGTTTTCGACAAAAAGTTTTCGTTTCCTATTAGCTTTTTTCATAATGTGCAGATGCGATTTCCGAGAATCCCTCAAAAATGACGGTGAATTTATTTTAAACTCCTAGGTCAGATGCAGTGACGATACACCAGTGAAAAGACGACATAATAATGAAAATAACGATAGCTTTCTAAATTAAAGAAGAAACTGGTTTTTGGAATTATCACATAAAATTCGTGCAAAAAAAAAAAAACAAACAAACAAACAAAATAAACGAAAGAGATTTTTTCTAGGCTTGGCTGATTCACAAAATTGTCAAGTTTAGTTAACTAATATTTGCAGATGCAAGCAGAGCAGAAGACAACTTACCTCACACGGTGTAGTCTGAAAGAACTTTTTAATTCTCAGTTTGGCCATGTATATATCAGATAAAGTCAATTGCTCCATGTCGAAAGAAATATTGGTTTAAACTGAAACTTGACAAAAAGAATGATCGAAAAAATGGCTCTTGAGCAGGTCTGCTCGCAGGCAGGTCGACAAACTTCAATAAACGCGCCTTTGTTGGCCTTTTTGTCAGACGGCAGAAGGTGGATAGGAACAAATTTTTGAACCAGCTCTTCACTGTTGTAAAACATATCGAAGCTATTGTGACGTAAGCAACACAGAGGATAATTTTGCACGAGCAAGCTCGTTCCCAGTTTGCTCTCTCTTACTCGGTACGTTTTGAAATTAGAACAGTTTCTTTCTGGAATACCAAATCTGTCGATTTTTAAATTTTCTAACTCAACTATCAATCTAGGTACCTATTTTAGGTCCTTTGAAACACTAAGTCGTAAACAACTGAAAGGAGTATCGGAAAAATTCGCTGAAGAAAACTTTCGGCCATGCCACCGTTCAGCTAAGCAATCTGGCAATGTATTTCTACGAGTGGTCAAAATTCAAATTTATTTCCGAGTCCTCTATAAGTAGTTCATGCTATTGCTCGATTTCACTAGCCCCACAAACTACTTTAAAACCGTTCAAAGACGATTGATGATGATCGTACACTGCGCAAATGCCAATTTAGTAAACTGATTTTCAGTCAGTGATAGAACAATTTCCTTTGTGACAAAACTATACAATTATGGCATCAATGTATCAATGTATCGATGTATCAATGTAGCCCAAACTCCCGAATGACTAGTTTGCTTATTTCAACTGTTGCTTAGTTCAGTCCTGGAACTCTCCTTTCCCCACCCTGGAGGGTGAACCAAGGCGAGAGAAGAGGGAGTCCAGGTTCTTTTACCTGCGCATGCTCAAAGCAAGCCGTTTGGTAAGCACCAAGAATCGCGACCTCTGGTTGAATCCGATTTTCTTAGCATGCGCAGAGTATTTGTTTCGTATTCTTAGCGAATCACATTTGCCAGATTTGACGGGAAGTTCGTGAAACGCGGACTTCCGCTGTTTCTGCGCA